GGGGAGTGAGAAGTGATACTTGTTCTAATGTAAAAGTAGAAAAGAAATCAGTAAGCTTAGCTGCAAAAGGGTACACAAATTTAAAACAAGTGAGGTTTAAGAACTTGCACTAAAGACGAAAGAATGGTAGAATTAATGATAATGGATGAGAACTGACCAGAGGAAAAAATGAAATGAAAGTCGATTATTTTGGGTGGAAAGCAAAATAGAAAAGTAATTATGACTTGGTCTCTTCTAGTGTGGGGGCTCTTTATCTTCTCCAGCAAAGTCAAAGTCACTCCTGAGAGTGAGAATGTATAAAAAAAAGTATGTGCACTATCTTATCGGCAATTCAACCAGGTCTTTGCAAAACTCTGGCCTGAGATACAACATCGACACTTATGCTCTTCTTCAAGTTTTGAAACCGAAAGTAACAGAACCACTAAAGTTCAACGTAATATTAACAAAATAGAAATGTAAAAGACACGGATATTGTTCTTAAATCTCACCTGCTGGTAGACTTTGTTAAGATTTCCCCTGACAATGTCGATCTCTGGTCGCTCCCACAAGTCCTTCATACCGGACACTGCGGAGTCTCTAGCGCTGTAGATGGCGTTGCTGTATTCTTCTGGCAGTTCAATGGAAGTGATGTAGGGTGAAATGTCCACATTCTTGACCTCTACAAATCTGTTTGCGATGTAGTCTACGTAGCTGGTGTTGTGCACTGTGTCTGTGAAAGGGAGAGGGGGACGAGATTTGGTTTTAAGGAAGGATGTTTTTCAAACAATGCTTGGGTGTGGACATAAAGAACATCTTATGTCACTTTGGTTACACAAAAACATAATTGATTGAATTCACAAGGCCCCTTTTTTGATATTTTATTGTATCAACGTAAACCTATTCTGTCCACGGTGAGAAGTAAAAATTCTGGCAGCGCAGAAAATTAAGTGAGTTAAGTGTTTAAACAGTCTGAATTGTTTTCAGATGGCGTAAAATTAAGATTTAAGCCTTGTTCAGGAACGCAGACGTTTAAGATGTTCTTTTTTTTTGGTAAGTGTTTTACGGCGCTCGCAACTGCATAAAGTCATATGAGCGCGGGACATATTAAACATTTTCAGTTGGTAGGAAATTTTGAATTTTTCGCGGGTGGCGCCGAAGTCTACTCGTATCGATTTTAGCCCACCAAGGGATCTTTAACGTGCGCAACTTGCACATGGGCCCACCGAGATTTTTAAGCCCTTGTCCGAGAAGGCTAGGTGTAGATCTTTCCTATCAGAAATCAGGGGTGTGGCTGAAAGACAAGTAAGAAGGAGCCAAGGAGTAGCAGTAGAAAGGCTGCAGAAAGAGTCAGGAGCCCAGAGGAGGGGGCAAAAGAGGTGAAGGGTGGGGGCAGAAAGAGGAGACGAAAGCAGACGACAAAACATTGCTAGAGGAGGTGAAAGGAGACACTTTTAGAGAAGAAAATTTTTCGATCGCTACCCGGATTCGAACCCGGGACCTTTGAATGAGAGGCCAACACTTTAACCTCTAGGTCATATTGAGAGCCCCCAGATGTTCATCAAC